AGCAGTACATAGTAATACAGCCAGCAGCAGCAGTAATAACAGCAGCAGCGTAGTATAACAGCACATCAGCATTATAACATCAGTCAGGCAGCAGTAGATATAACAGCAGCAGTATAAACAGCAGTTGCAGTAGTATAACAGCAGCCGCAGTATAACGCAGTAGCAGTAGTATAACAGCAGCAGCAGCAGTAATAACAGCATCATCAGCATTATAAACAGCAGCAACAGTAGTATACCACAACACAGTCAGGCAGCAGCAGCTTATAACAGCAGCATCAGCAAGTAATAACAGCATCAGTATAACCGCATTACATTAGTATAACAGCAGCAGCCGCAGTATAACAGCATAAGCAGTAGTAATAACACAGTATTATAGCAGCAGTCTAACACAGCATCAGTAAAACAGCAGTATAACAGCAGTAGCGAGCAGTACTAGAGTAAGTAGCAGCAGTATAACAGCCAGCAGTATAACACATATAACAACAGCATTAGCACAGTATAGTAGTAGCACACGCAGCAGCAGCAGCAGTATAGCAGCATAAATAACAGCAGTAGCAGCAGTATAACAGCGGCAGCAGCATATAACAGCAGCAGCAGTATAACATCAGCTTAGCAGCAGTAGTAGTATCAGCAGCAGTATAACAGCAGCAGTAGCAGCAGATATAACAGCAGTCACAACAAGTATTATTTAGCAGCATAATAACAGCAGCAGCCGCAGCAGTATGAAAAACAGCATTACACATAGAAGTAGAAGTAGCACAGCAGTATAGCAGTAGAAGTAGTCGTAGCAGTATAACAGCATAGCAGCAGCAGTATAACACAGCAGCAGTATAACAGCAGTAGCAGCCGTAGTAGACAGCAGTATAACAGCAGCAGTTAGTTAGTCAGTAGTAGTAGTAGCAGCAGCCATATAACAGCAGCAGCAGTAGTATAATAGTAGTAGCAGCAGCAGTAGTAGTAGTAGTAGTAGCGAGCATCAGTAGAAACAGCAGCAAGCAGTAGAAGTATTAAGTAAGTACAGCAGTAATAACGGCAAGCAGCATATAACAGCAAGTAGCCAGCAGTAAAACATCAGTAGTAGTAGAAGTAGCAGCATCAGCAGTAAAGCACAGCAGTAAAATAGCAGTAGCAGCAGTATAACAGCACAGCAGTAGTAGTAGTAGTAGTCGTAAGCAGGCGGAATAACACATATCAGCAGTAGTAGTAGCAGCACAGCATATAACAGCAGTAGCAGCAATAGTATGGTACAGCAGCAGCAGTAGTAGTATAGTATAGCAGCAAGTATAGTAGCAGCAGTATAACAGCATAGCATCAATAGTAGTATAGCAGCAGCAGCAGCAGTAGTAGAAGTTAGTAGCAGCAGCAGTATAGCCACAACATTAGTAGAAAGTAGTAGTAGCAGCAGGCAGCAGCAACAGTAGTAGTAGCAGCAACAACAACAGTATAAGCAGTAGCAACACCAACAGTAGTAGTAGTAGCAGCAGCAACAACAACAGTAGTAGCAGTAGCAACACACAACAACATTAATAGCAGCAGCAACGAAAAACAACACATTATACAGCACAACAACCACAATAGCGAGTGGCAACAGCAGCAACAACAGTAGTAGCAGTAGCAGCAGCAGCAACAACAACAACAGTAGTAGCAGCAGCAGCAACAACAACAATTAGGCAGTGCAAACAGCAGGCACAACATAGTAGCAGTAGCAGCAGCAGCAACAACAGTAGTAGCAGTAGCAGCAACAACAACAACAGTAGTAGCAGTAGCAACAACAACAATAGTAGCAGCAGCAACAACAATAACAACAGTAGTAGCAGCAGCAGCAACAACAACAACAGTAGTAGTAGCAGTAGCAACAACAGTAGTAGCAGCAGCAACAACAACAACAGTAGTAGTAGTAGTAGCAGTAGCAACAACAGTAGTAGCAGCAGTAACAACAACAATAGTATCAGCAGCAGCAACAACAACAACAGTAGCAGCAGCAGCAACAAAAACAGTAGCAGCAGCAGCAACAACAACAATAATAGCAGTGGCAGCAGCAGCAACAACAGTAGTAGCAGCAGCAGCAACAACAGTAGTAGCAGCAGCAGCAACAACAGTATTAGCAGCAGCAGCAACAGCAACTGCAGCAACAACAACAGTAGTAGCAGTAGCAACAACAATAGTAGTAGTAGTAGCAGCAGCAGCAGCAGCAGCAGCAACAACAACAACAGTACACAGCAACAGTAGCAGCAGCAACAGCAGCAACAACTGCAGCAGCAACACAACAACAGTAAAGCAGTAGCAAGCAACAACATATTTGTAGTCCGTAAGCAGCAAGCAACAGTATAGTAGTAGTTAGCAGTTCAGCAGCAACAACAACAGTAAGTAGCAAGTAGCAACAACAACAACAGATTAGTAGTAGCAGCAGCAGCAGCAACAACAACAGTAGTATCAGTAGCAACAACAACAACAGTAATTAGCACAGCACAGCAACAACAACAACAGTATAGCACAGCAA